TTTTTTTTTGTTTTTTTACACGACGAAAATCCCATATCCCAAAGATAAGCTGTTGTGAGGGCAACTTTGTGCCCCTGTGTGGCCCAGTACCGCTTGGGGAACGCTTGGCGACAACAAACATGCCTGAAAGTCGTCGTCTTCTCCTTCTTACGCAGAAAAGCTGCGTCGTAGTCTCCCCAACCTCACGCGTTCCAACGCGGCGCCCCCGCAGGGCCCCGAGCCCGTTAAAAACAGTCGAAGCTGCGAGTCCAACCTGCAGATGCCAAACGGAGGATCTCCCAGACACCAGAGCCAATCAGCTCGTGAGTACCAGCACACACACACACTCAGTGCCTGCACGTTTGTGTTAACTCTTTCCTGGCAAACTTTCTTTTTTGAAATATTTTACAGCAGCATTGTATTGCGGGAGGAACCGAGTTCTCGTTGTGGCTCAAGTGTAAAAAGAAGTTAACCTCCTTTAATAGTCAAGTGTGGAAACACAATGCGTGTGGTGACTGCGTCGTGTGAGCCCACTCACCTTACGAAATTGCAGTTGCAGCTGTCTCTTCTTTTGGATCAAAAAAACAAAAAACGCTGTTCCGTCCTCACATTGTAGTCCTTGTAGGGTTCATGCTTTGGCCACCTGGGGGCAATATAACAAACACATCAAGACTTTTACAACAGACTCGATAAGCTTCAGTCAGTCTTATTTTTTATTTTTTGCAGAGGATAAGGAATATATGCCAGTGAGTTTTGTTATATTGTCTGGCCACAGTAGGACGATCAAACATTTGTTTGAGAAATGTAGTTTACTTTATGACACAATACCTTGTGGCTGTTTTTGATTTTACACGACAAATATTCCATATATTAAAAAACACAAATACATAAACTAGTTAAAAAAATAAAAACCTTCCCTAAAAAGCGAGTTACAACCTACCAAAAAAAAAGTCAAAATAAAATAAAAACTAACTTAATAAAGGATCACAAACTATTATCACCCCGATACGGAGTTGAAAATGAGTGAATGATTTCCAACACAGCCATCAACATTATCACATCTGTCAATCCCCACAAAATATCTAAATCTCAAAGCGCTGGTAAACGATGCCGCGCTTCACCAGCTTTGGGCTCTTGGGTTTTTTTTTCGTCTTCTCTCGGCACGCACGTCAGGAAATCCTCCAGTCTCTTTATCAATGAGTTTTTTTTTTAATGTACTTCCTAAGATTAGAGGATCCCCTCACAAGAGCCTCGGCAATCCATTTGATGTAATCCTTAAACGTGGGATGAAGTTAACGGTATTCCTCTTAATCCCGGAGCTCTTAATCCTTCTTTCTGGTCCAAGTGGCACAGCGCAGGGGTCCGAGGGCAAGCTGCCATTTGTTAAACATGCTTCGAACCTGTTGGGATTAACCCCCCTCCCCCCACCTCCATTTTTTTAAAACAATCTTTATCGGAATCCTTCCTTTGGAAAGCCGTTTCGGCACTTCTTTCATATCCTTGACATCCTTTTTAAGATCCATGTACTGCTTTTGTTCTCTGTAGTAAAACAATTCAGTGCACCGGAAGAACACATTTGTCGTTGTTTTGGTATCCACAATAGAGATGCCTGGCTGGAATCAACATGCCTCTAACATGTTGAAATAATTGACAACAAAAATTTTCGATTGGTAGCCCACAGTTGCTTGCCAGCTTTGCAAGTCTCTCCTGAAATGTAATAAATGCAGACTGAACTGAAAAGGCGCGCGGTAATGCTCGCCGACAAACAGCCTTAAATCCTCTTTGTCAGCTGTCAGCCGATTCACCAAACGACCTCCCGGATCGTTGGAAAGACAGACGATATAGATTGTGGTGTTTCAAAACAAAGACTAGCGGCGCTCTACCAATATCCTCTTTTAGTGTGAAGATTCATCTTTAAAAAAAACAAAAACATCCACCTCGCATTTCCCTCAACCATCAGCCTCATTCAGCACAAACATGCTCACAATCCTCTTCCCCCTTCAACTGGCAGCCCCCCCCCCCCAATCACAAATCACACTTTAATAGTCACACAGACAGTCAAACTTATGTTTGGAGGCGTCGCATAGTGAACTGACTTAAAAAAAAGTCAGTTCGGCGTATGCTGAATTGTGGGGGAGGGGGGGAGATTCGAATTCAGCTTGACGATCATCACCTTATCACGGACTACAAAAAAAAAAGGATTAATTCAACCTGGCATGCCTTCCTCTACCGTATGACGCTTTACTAGTGAGCAAAACTACCGGTGGGCGATTTGGGTTGACTTCTAGGATCCAGGGCGCTATTAGTTAGGCCTAGTAGTGTCTCCAAATTGTCTTATAATTTTTGAGGAAAAAGAGAGGACTAGTCCATGGACCTTAAGCTTCACATCAAGCACATGGGATCAGTCCTCCGATGTTTTCCATCTTTTCCTTGGCTTTGGCATGTGGCACTGACCGACTCCCTCCTCCTGCTGAACGGAGCTACGGGCTGGCAAATTTCTTTGGCTGCGGCGCCATCTAAAGGCTTGCGAGCACATTGCAAAGGGGGAAGCCCTCCCAGGTTATCGTGACAGTATGTGTGTGTGTGTTGTGTGTCCACAGCAGCGCCTCAGCTCCCAAGACACTCCACCCCCAAAAGCAAACAGCACCTCCAAAGCCCGACGGCCCGGCGAGGTAACGGGCCCAAAGCAGCTTGAACGCTCGCTGACGTCCTACACTCACCCACTGCAAGGGCTGATGGGATGTTGTAGTTTACCGGTACTCGGTTTAATTACATCAAGGGAGGGGAGGGAGGAAGTATGAGAAAGGCTCGACAGGCTAAATAGCCGCGTCGGTCAGTTAGACCACAGACCTCCGCCAAGGCCAAAGTCGGAAAAAAGTGGAAAAAACCCAAAACAAATAAGTGTGGAATGCCTTCTCTATCAGTGGCCAACAAATGGCACGTATTTCCAAATTTAGTTTTCTCATCGCAAAAAAATAAACCACTTTTTTTTCTCTCTTTAGTTCTGGATTAAAAGAAGAAAAAAAAATATCTACATTTGCACATGAAAAAAAAAAAAAAAAAATATCTACATTTGCACATAAAAATTTTTTTTTAAAAATCAGAACACAATTACAAAAAGAAAAACTGTGTAAAAATAACCGCAGTCAACCAAATATTACAAAACATGCTTTTTGTTGGAAAAACATGCCGCCAAAAAGAGGTATCTCCAAATTTAAGAAAATATTTTTTTTCATTGACAGTGAGCCCCCTGTTTTTTTTTGCCACAAAAAATTTGCAAATAACCCCCCCAAATGAGGGTGCTTTTGTAATTGGATATAGAAGCCACAATATAGCAGCAAAGCACTTAAAGCTGAGAGGATCATAAAGCATCAACACCATGCAGACAGCGATGAAGCCCAAACATTCATGTGAGGCTCAACAGTGCTAGCCTAGCATGCTAGCCTAAAAATACTTTCTTTTACTTTTGACTGGAGGATAGGTGCCCCCCCAAACTGCTGATTCAGTGTACCATGACACAGATTCTCACCAACAGGTTCGTCTTTGGTGGATGTGCCACACCTCGAGGAATTCCCCGGTGTTTGTTTTTAACTAACCAATCAAGCTTCCGCTACCAAGGAGTCCCAAATTTGTTTTGGATAATTCACGTTGCCCGGTACCACACATCACGCGAGTCTTTCACGCAGACCGACCTAAAGGCTTGTGTCTTTGTTGTGTGTGTGTTGTCATTGTCTAGTCCCACTCTCCTGTTGCTTTGGCGACGAAGGTGACTTCAGTGAGTATTTCACTGACGGCTTGCCGCTCTTCGTGTTGTTGTTGTTGTCGCTGTGGCCCCTCGGTGTGGTTTGTGCATCTCATTCGATTGACGCATCGCAAGAAGCAGACCTCCACCAAGGCCCCTTTATCTTTTAAAACATGACAACATTACTCTTACAAAAATAAATGCTGGATTAAGTTTATCGCCACTCAGCAGAGCAAAAACAGACACATGCAACAGAGCCACTTTGTAACTTCGGGAAAAAAAAAAGGCTAATCTCAGCTACTCCTCGAGATACAAAGATCATCTCTGACTCAAGATGTCTCACTTCAACATGCTTCTTTGACACCAATTACTTATTTTTCTATTAAGCCAGCGTTGTGGCGTCACCTTGTGGCATCTTTAGTACTTCATGGAATGAGCACAGAAAATACCAACTATGGGCATGGGTGTCAAACTCAAGGCCCGGGGGCCAGATCTGGCCCACCATGTCTTTTTATGTGGCCCACAAAAGCAAATCATGTGTGTCAACTTTCATGATCCCTGCTAAAAATCGATACCAAAATATCACTTTGAGCGTTGAGATTTTGCAAACGACACACAAATGGTTGACTGATTTCAAAACTATCCATCCAATAATCTGTTTTTGCGGGCCACATCAAATTGTTGCAGGCTGGATCTGGCCCCCGGGCCTTGATTTTGACACCTGCGGTGTAGATGATAGGTCTATTCTTGGTTCTTTTGTCATTGCTAAACATTATAAACGTGGTGGTCGTGGTTGTTGAAGACATCCCTCATGCTTGGCTCTCAAAACCCAACATTGATCATTTTCACGCAAGCGTGAGCGTCGCTGGTATCGCGCCACGTTTTGAGACTTGCGTTTTTTTCCCCCCTATCAGTTCCGCCGACGAGCAAGCTGCGGACGCCGGCCGCGCCTTCGCCTCTGGCCTTGAGGCAGCCCGTCAAGGCCACGGCCAACCCCGCCGGCTCTACCACCACGCCCGGCCGGTCCCTGGTTCCGCCCCGCAGCGGCCTGCCTCGCCCCAGCGCCCCAGCGGGTGGCGGCATCCCTCTGCCTCGCAGCAAGCTAGCACAGCCTGTGCGCAGGTAAGGGACATTTTTTTATTGATTATTCTTATTTAATTTCTTGAACATTTTAGCAATTTTACAGCTTCTGGCAAGAGTTTTCTTTCTGGAACATTTTTCAAACTACAGTGCTGGAGCCTGGGTGGAAGGCGGACCACACCCTGAACCGGTCGCCAGTCAGTCGCAGGGCACATGTAGTGACAAATAACCATGCACACGCACACAAGTTAGCTAACTATTTATTTTATAGAAAATAATTCACTTTTTGTTTGAATACCACGTAATTTAAAGGTTTACGATGCTGGATTTTATTTGTCGCTTATGCGCAAGTTTGATTTTATAGCTGTCTGTGGCCGTACATTTTTGCTCCGCCAAGGCGTGCAAAAGTTAGCGACGATGTAGAGTTTGTTAGGGGGGCGGGGGCACAAGCGTTCAATGCGGCTTTCCCCTTTTTCCAGAAGTCTACCTGCTCCTCGCATCTACAGCGGCACCAGGGACAACCTGAGGGAAAGCTACTAGCCGCTCGCCCAGCAGAGGGCGCTCTACTCCAACCGTCAGTCACTCGAGGAGTTGGACTGCATGGCACTTTATCCACCTTGATGACTCTTCCAGTCACAATGTCCCAGGAATATTAAAAGAAAGAATAAAAGATATATACGCAATTCAGAAGAAGAAGAGAGAGGCCGACGAGAACGCCAAAGAACAAACTCAGCCTTCTCTGCCATGGACGCCGCGCCACAGCACTCAATTTGAGCCCCCGCCGGTTGTTTTTAAAGCCACGCCTTCTTTACGCCTTCATACATGTCAAGGAGAAACCTCAAAGAGGACGTCAGCAAGCGTCATTTGTGATGACGTCACTGCGCACTCGCCATGATGACATCGGCGAGCGACCGTCACAACATCATTGAGGGAATTTGACATCGAGTGACTGCCATTATGACATCAGCAAGTCACCTCTAAGATGATGTCACCAAACACCTTCAACCCACTTGAGGAATCCCAATGCTGACATCAGCGAGTCGCCTTGACGATGACATCATCGTGCCACTGCCATGACGACGTCAGCAAGACACCTCGACCGTGATGACAGCGAGTAACCTCCATGTGACCCTGGCGAATATCCTCAATGATGTCATCATCATCGAGATACTGATGATGTTGTCATTGTGAAACCCCTATGATGACATCAGCGACCAACGTCTACGATGACAGCAAGCGACTGCCGTGATGACATCGCCGAGACGCCTCGTCGATGTCATCATTGAGCGTCGGCCACGATGACATCAGCGAGATGCCTCGATGATGACGACGGCGCGTGACCTCTGATGTCAGCATCGTGCCATTGCTAATGTCACTGAGAAACCTCGATGACATCAGCGAGCAACCGCCATCAGGATGTCGGCAAGGCACCGCGACGGCGATGACGTTCGTGTAACCGTGGTGATGTCGATATGATTGAACATCTGCCACAATGACCTCGATGACGCCGTTATCACTGAGCGACCACCGCGATGACATCAGCAAGACGCCACAATGATGACATCGGCGAGCGGGACCTCTGCAATGGCACCAATGCGTGGCCGCCATATTGAAAACAATCTTTCCTTGCGGAAAATAAAAGCACCAGAGAGAGAATGCACAAGTTTATTTATGAAAATGATTTGATGGGATCCTCCATTGTTTTGACGCTGCTCGCGTTCCTACGGGAGACGCCAGCGTGTCTTCAGTGATGACACAGGCACGGACTTCACATGCTGCTTTCAAGAAAACTGGGAAGTCTGAAATTCCCTTGCTTCTCGCCTACTTGACATAAAAAATAAAATAATCAAAACAGTCCACACTCAAGTGACTGATGTCAAGTACTACTTTCCTTTGGCGGCAATTTGACGGTGATCCAGAAAGAGCACAAAATATACCGCGAATCTGCGTCCCAACAACGGAGGATCCTCGAAAGACATCACGTGTCCGTATCAGTATTTTTTTTCAATACGTTTTCTAATGTCCGTTTGAACCTCAATTTGCATCGCTAATGCTCCAAAGCATTTTTTTTTTAAGTTTCCCAAAGGCTCGTCTCGAGATGTAAGTGCTTTGATTCTTTTTGGGTTTCAGTTCAGGTGTGAAGCAAGCGCTCAGGCTGATCCGACGATGAGTTGACAATAGAGAACTCGGGCAGTGACACTCCCGACGACTTCCCCCTCTTTCCTTTCAACCATGACAGCCTTGATTGTTTTGCTGACGCTGGCGGCCATTTTGGCGCCCCTCAGGCCTTTCGTTAGCTTGTGTCAAGTCAATGAACATAAAAGGGGACATATTATAGGAATTTTATTTTTTAATATAATAATTTTGTCTTCAGATTGCCTGCACACTGAAAATGTCATGAAGCGCTAACTGATTTTGTTTACGTCGCTGTTCGCCTCGGCATCACCCAAGCCCCGCCAGGGTCGTCATGGTAACAAAAAGTGTCGGGTGAGCATGGAGCTCATGAGCATGAAACAAAAGAACCTCAAAGTGAACATCCCACAGACGTGTTATTAAGACACTTGGAAACTTATTAAATTGTTTAAAAAAAATTATAAGCATAATATGTCCCCTTTGTGGTTCCTTAAATCCCCACAGTAATTCTCAATGTGTCATCAATGTTTAAAAAAACTGAAATTAAGGAGAAAAAAAAGAGGAGGGTTATCAGAATGATTCTATTTGTGTACCGGTGTTTGTACTCATCGGTGTGGTGGCTCGTTTATGAACTAGTGCCTCTGATTTAAAAATTTAAAGTGTCTTTTTATTATTGTGTTGTGTTTTTTTTTTGTATAATTATTTTGGTGCCAATTTATGGTTTTGCAAAGCTTTTATTGATTTGCTTGCTCGCTTATTTTTGTAATAGAAATGAGTTACATTGATGATTATAATTTCTTTGAGGAAGAAGAAAAAAAGTTTGACTATGCGCCTTCATATTTATATCTAATGTGTAAATTAAAAGTTATTTATTTAAAAAGAGACAAGAGGTGCCTCAGACAGGAACGTGGGAAGCTGGACCGAATGTTGCAAAAAAATAAAAATAAAAAAATACAAAGACCAACAACAGCAACCACGCCTTTTGTGACACTTCGTTTTTTTTTTTTTTTTGTTATTTGACCTTTTTTAAAAGCCACAAACATGACAGTTTTTCCTCCCTGTGTAAAGTCACATTTCAAATAAAAAGCTCAAAAACCTTTTCTTTTTTTTTGTTGTTCATTGTTCTTTCACCTCATGAAAAGAATACAAAAGTGGCAACATCTTCCGGGCAGCATCACGGTTTTTGATTTTGAAAGAAAAAAAAAATCCAACATGGTGTCTTACAATATTTCATCTTGCCCGTTTCCAAGAAAGTGCACACGTTGTCCTTTGAGTCACTTTCAATCCACTGATTGAAGACGCGACTCATAAAAAAGTGAAAGCGTACCAGGAATAATAATGATGGAATTTCTGGGAACGGAGAACAGCCTGAGTGCAAAATTCATCTCTCTTCAGCATTTTCGTAACGAGCAAAGGTAATCTGGTCTTTGAGCTTTTTTTTTTTTTAAATATCATTTTAGCATATATCAAATTAAGTTTCGGATAAACCTTCGCTCCATGTTTTCAGAAACAACCACAGTGATGAACCTTGCGGACTGTCTCACAAATATCAAAGACAATTTAGCCCTCAATTAATCTTACGTGCACATTTTTGCAAACTATATAAAAAAATATTTATATTAGTCTTCACTGGACTTGACAAAGTCTTTTTAAAGCAAAGAATTTAGTCTTTGAGGAACCTTCTACACATACATATATATATTTTAATCTTTAATCTCATGAGCTTGTTTTTTCCCCGTACATTTTTTAATACATTTTTCGCAAAAACAGATTAGCCTTTGCTCACCTTATACATACATAAATATCTATTTGTATTCTATTTTATTTATATGGCGTCTAGATGAACAAGGGAAGGGGACCTGGAATAAAAATAATCGCATATTGGGGGGGGGGGGATCACCATTAGCATATTTTTCAAAACCGTTCAGTCCTACTCCTAGTGCGCCGAGACTTGAGCGGCGTTATTAAAAACGGTCTGACAATGTGAGCGCATCTCCAGCATCGCTTGCAGATTGGCATCAGCTCAAAATTGTCTCATTCATCAGACTTTATTTGAATCCGTGCCCTCTCTCTCTCTCTCTCTCTCGCTGTCTAGTTCGCCCTCTTGTATTGCAGCAGTGACATCATCAAAGAATTAAAACAATAAATAAGCGCATTGCGTGAAAGTGCATTGTGCCCAACTAGAAACTGGAAGTTAGTTTGGCAAGCTGGTTTAAACATTTATTTGATATTATTCATATCCATTTTAAGGGGGCGTCGGGGGTCAGCAAACCATTCGAAGGGGCAGCCGTCTTTGACAGACAGGCATAAAGAGCCCACCAGACCAATGTTGCGTTAATGGTGTGCAGAAATGGGGGGGGGGGGGTCATTTGTCACTTGTCCTGGAAAATGCTCATTGAATAGTCAACCCAGTGAGGCTGTGAGGTCTGCAAACTTCGGGTCATTTTGTGGGAGCCCAGGTTTCAAAACAACATGGCGAAGCAGCTACTAGCTGTTACGCTGCCCCAAGTGTCAATGCGTTTCAATCCGGGTTAGACCCTTTGCCTTTTTTTTCCTCCACATTCCTTTGATGAAGCATTTTTAAAAAAATCTATTTCTCTTGATGATATTTTTGTCATTATTTACGAGTGAGAGCAAAGAGCAAACTAGTACATGGACCTGAAGCTGGATATCAAACGACTCGAACGTACTTCCATGACATACCTGGAGTTGGCTGCGTTTGAAGAGGCTGACGACAGCCCTGAGTCACCCTCTTCTTCCTCCTCCTCCTCTTCGTCTTGTTCCCGTCCATCTTCTCCTGGCGAGACGTCACTGCTTTTATTTCCTGTGCGCGATGTCGGCGCCTGATAGCGGCAGGCCGGCGTCTGCGGGCACACAAACAAACGTGTCAGATACACTCAGATGAGACGCTGAGATTTCACCATGAGAATATACACGGGTTTTGGTAACGCATGCTTATTGTACGAAGTGGGAAAAAAAACCCGTAGCATGGAGGGCAACAAAAGCGACATGCCATTTGTTTCTTTTTTACAGCCCGGTGCACTTTGTGTAAAGGATCCACACTTTATTTTCACGGCTTCTTTTTCCTGTGCGTGTATGTGGTAATTTATGGTACCAGTCATAAGTTTGGAAACACCGACAGACAGATTCAAATGGTGCCAAACACATAAGAAGGTCAAGAAAGTCGAGCTACTAACTCTTGATAATGCAGAGCTGTGAACCAAAAGTCATTCAAGGTCAAAAAGCATCATCCACATCATAAGGCTGACTGAGAAAATACCAAGATGCGCATTAGTTGTTATCTGGTGCCTACTTTGAAGAATCTAAATTATAAAACATATTCTGTTTTGCTTCACATTTTTGGGGGGTTTACCAAAAGACTTCCCTCAATAATGTGGATGAGGTAAGGATTTACCTACGATTCTGGATATTTTTACATTATATCAAAACATTGAATTGGCAGATGTTTCCAAACTTTTAACTGACGCCATGTTAAAAGTGTAACATTCATCGGACAGTGAATATGACAGCAAATAAGTGAGAGTAAATATGAATAAAATACGACAGTATTTTGAACCAACAGAAATCACATTCCCCAAATAAATATATTAAAACGAAAATTAAAATCATACATCGAATATTGCATTCATATTTTCACAATACCAAGTGTAGATATGAATTAAAAGATGTTCCCAATGAATACGAATCAACCTCTGCAAAATATCAATTTGGTGTTCATGCGAGTTGAATCCTGATTTGATCGTGATCCAAAACGTGCACTTCGAGTGTCAATTCCAATTGAGCAACTCGATCAAACGCCCTCGAATGCGCTCGTGGTCCATCGGTTGCGTTTGTGTCTTGATTTGACTCCAAGATTTGGATGACGCTCGATCAGGGGGGGGGCAGCCAGCGATGGTTGCGTCCCTCGGGTGCGCACGCACACCCCCACACGCATCCACGCGGGTTGGGCGCGCTATAAAACGGGGGTCCGGGACGCCGGGGCTCGGTCCTTCGTCTCCGGCTGTCGCGCGGCGCGGACGGCCAACCATGGCACCGTCGCGTCCTCTCGCCCCGGCCCCGTAGCGAGCGAGCGAGCCGTGCGTAACGACGAGGAGCTTCGACCGACGCCGCGCCATGGCCAACTCCAGCGAACCCCCGCCGGGCGGCTCGGAGCTGAAGGTGGGCTCGCTCCCGTCCGAGCCCCCCTCCGCCGGCGACGTCCTGAGCCTGGTGCCCGCCTTCTGGGACTCGCCGTTAAGCCACGGCATCAACGTGTTCGTGGGGCTGGTGCTGTGCTTCACCATGCTGGGGCTCGGCTGCACGGTGGACGTAAGCCAGCTGGGCGAGCACATCCGGCGGCCGGTCGGGGTGCTGCTGGCCGTCGTGTGCCAGTTCGTCATCATGCCGCTGGTGGCCTTCCTGCTGGCGCTCACCTTCTCTCTCGACGACGTGGCCGCCATGGCCGTGCTACTGTGCGGATGCTGCCCCGGGGGGAACTTGTCCAACATCATGTCGCTACTGGTGCACGGGGAGATGAACCTCAGGTACTCCCGCAACTTTTTTTTTTCTTCTTCTTGCTTGTGGAGGCTCTCAGTCGTACAGGAAAGTACGACAGAAGCTTCTGTGAGAGAAGCGAAACGTCCTTTTTTGCTTTTTTTTGTTTTTTTTGTTTTTTACCCACAGGTACAGATGACGACTGACAGAACCCTTTCTACGATGGTTTTCTTCTTCTTGAAATCACTTTTTTACGCAAAAAGTAGCTGTTGACGTCATCCGTTTTCGACGAAAGATTAAAATCGACCGTTAAATGACAGAACATTTGTCATGAATTACAAGTAAATATGAATGTAAATGCAATTTTCAAGCTCGATTTTATACATAATGTAATTTGCATATAATTAAAATTGTAATAATGGTACCATAATCATTCAATAATAATTTTATGCGACGAGGATGTTCAATACCATTTTTTTTCAGACCGATACCAGTACGAGTATTCACACGAGTACTCTATTCTAATGGATCTAAATATAGCAGAAAACTTTCAAGTACAGTATTGCTTTAAATAAAAAGTGACGTCAAAGAGTGGAAAGACACCAGTGAGGATGTCCAATATGAGGAAAATGTGATTTAGTCAGCAGCGGAAGCTGTTGTGGAAAGCAAAGAGATGGGATTGAGGCTCATCGATACGGGGAGTAACCATGGATGGTTGAGGCGAGTGATGTGGAAGCAAGCTGACTGTGCAGGATTCTTATGCGTTATCCTGTTGAAAAATCATGGCCCCCCTACCCCAAACGAACAAACTAATCATGCCCAAAGATGTACATTAGAAAATAAACCAACAACTATTGCTTGCTGTAGGCGTAAAAAGTAGGACTGAAGAGGATTGTGACATTTTAATCACTTTAGTAAAATTGGGATACTACATGTTTTTTACATTTAGTGTTCCACACGCATCTCTGCTGCCACCAACTGGTCAAAAGTGGAATTACATCCCAAAATACATACATTTGTGGGCCGCAAACCCATAACCCACAATGGAGTGGAGTTT